CCCGCAGGTGATGGAGATTTACCGCTGATTACAGAACCGGCTTTCTGACAAGATGCGCATTAAATATCGCATGCGATTTATCGTGCAGCCCTAGTCTGGATAGTTGACAAGTCACCCAAAAACTGACTTGTGAGGTTCACTAGTCTAGCTACGCTACTGTTTAAAGGTTTGGGGTTAGTAAGATTTTTAAATGTTTTGAAAGAAGTCTTTTATGCTCACCATGGCTGGATTTATTTGATCAATAAAACAGTAATATTTTTGTTTTCTGTTAAAATGTATTTTAAAATGTAATTTCTTCCTGTGATAGTAAACCTGAATTTTAAGCAACCATTGCTTCAGTGTCACATGATCCCTCAGCAATCATTCCAATATGCTAATTTGGTGCTCAAAAAATATTTATTTTTATTATCAGCGCTGAAAACTGTTGTGCTGCTTAATATTTTTATGGAAACCATTATACATTTTTCAAGATTCTTGGATGAATAAAAAGTTCAGAAGAACAGCATTTATTTGAAATAAATCATTCATAACATAAATATTCTTACTGCAACTTTCAATCAATGTAATGCATCCTTGCTGAATAAAAGAATGAATTTATGTAAAAAAAAATATATATATTTATCAATGTAAACAAATTTAAAAATCAAACATTTTTCAGTTTTAATCCTATAAGTGAATTTAGGCGCCAAATATGCCTATTTGTGCCTATAATTTGAAATCTGGATTTAAGATTTAACAGTGTTGTTAAATTATTGATGTTTTAAAGATTAACCTAAGCTTAAAAATAGGAGAAATGAGCATGAACAATTATATGTACAATATCAACTGATAACTATCCAGTATCGATTCATACCAATAAATAAAAATCCCTAATATCGACCAATGACCAATGTGATTCCGATATATATCATACTTATCAACCATGTGTCTGGTAGACACGACCCTAAACGAGCATAAGTATAGAGTGCCTCCCTACTTGTTCAAACAGACTAACTACTTGATTTTGAAAATATGCTCTTTTGCAAATCCTCTGTAATGCCCACATGTTGCCACTTTTTATTTTTTGGCATGCTCAGAAGAAAGAATGAACTGAGGGCATTATTGAAATAACAGGTCCCTTCTCAGCCTCCAGTCTTCTGTTCGGCCGTCTCCAGGGGTCCCTCTGCTCTTCACAGTTAGAGTCACCCCCAGCCCGGTCACCCCGTTCCAATCCTTTCATGTCCGTCTTTGTCCCCCGGGCCTAATTTCAGGGGGATTGGATCAGGATTGAAGCAGAATTGGTGGAAGCACTGAATAGAAAGCAAAGGCTTTTTCCTCGTTCCTTTTCCTCCCATAATCCCCTCTAATCTCTTGCCATGCCGGCCGTGTTTGTTTGGCGGTGTGATGTAACGGAAATTAGATCGCAAAGCTTTCATTTTCTCTGTGTGTTTCCCCAAATTTAACAAGGTAGCCCCAGACTTTTGTCTGTGGTAATCCCCGGTCTGGCTTTGACCAACTCGCACAGCTAATATGCATTTGATTAGAGCTTTAGACGCTGCCATAAGAGCCCTTAAGGGAAGTTGTAGTAGTTCCAGGAAGTGAAGGACTTTACTCACTATATTTTGTTTGATTTTTGTTTTAAGGCTCTTATTAACATTTCATGTCGCTTTCAAGAGTATGCGTGCAAAGTTAGAAGTTGAAAGGCTTATTGTTTGTGTCACATGTCCGTGTCTAAGTGGATTAAAGTATGTTGTGTGATGACTTAAATTTGTATACGTACACACAAGAGAGAGAGAGAGAGAGAGAGAGAGAGAGAAGGAATACAAAAGATAGAAACTATTATCTGTTCTCTGACAAGAGAGCGAGAACAAGTTGTACAGATAATTGCCAAAGTTCACAGAAACAGTGTTTGTTATTATGGCAGTTTAAAGAGAAGTCAAGATAGATTAAAAATACAGCTCTTTTATATGGCATTATGACTAAGCTTTGTATGTTAGTCACACAAATGTGTGACTGTGCAAGTGTTTGGTGTTGGGTTGTCCTCTAGTTTGGGTTAGGTGTTGGGGATACCGCATTACAAGTAACGTGAGTTGTGTAATCAGATTACTTTTTTCAAGTAACTAGTAAAGTAACGCATTACTTTTTAATTTACAAGAAAATATCTGAGTTACTTTTTTTTTCCAATCACATATAACAAGTCAAGAAAAGTATAATCAGCAAGAAACTGTAACAGACTTTACAACAGAGCTGTGTTGGGGTTCCTGATCACTATAAATACTGTTCCACCTTCAAGAGGTTATTGCATAACAGCTATCAAGGCTTCAAGTTCTTTGTGCAAGTTCTCGCATGCTTTACCATGTGACCGACACGGATCATAGGTTTGACGCCCAGCTCATATTGTGTGTCTGTATAAACACAGCAGCCACTTTGCACGAATAGGATGTAAAATAAGACCTGAAGAATTTAATATATGTATATTTGCAAAAAATTATTAGTGAAATAAGGTGTTTAACTGTCAGAAAATAATTAACAATTTTGGAGACTGCTGTGTTTGCTAAATTTGAGATGTCTAAATGCATCAGTATATTATTTCAGTAGAGTATGTGAAGACAAATGACACTTTTGTGTGGATTTTAATAATCGGATTATTAAGGTCAAGACTGAAGCAGGTGATTACTGCATTAAAGACTATACTTTTCAGACAATGTAGATAGCAGTTAAATAATAGCTCTTAAAACATTTTAAAGCATTGTATTTTGCGCCTCTAATGCTGTAATGTGACACCAAAGTTTACTATATTTATGGAATTATTTGTTTGTAGGTATATGCTGGTCTGTATATGTGTCAGAGTGATGTTATATGATCTGAATATCTTGAAACTTGACAGTGCATATGACTTTAATCTCTCGTCATCCAATTAAAAAGCAGGACATCCAAAACGTAGCACTTTCATGCCACATGAGAGTCATTCCTCTCTTCCTATCTTCCCCCTCTATTGAAAAAGGAAACATTTGATATCAACACACAGCAGTGGATGTTCATAAACAATGGTCCTTGTGTGCATGAAAACTGAGCGTAAATCAATATGCCAATGAAAACTTTTTTATAACATATTTAATTGTTGATATGTAAAATAAGACACGCGGTTAATGGTTTATTGACTCATCTTTGTCAGGCATGACAGGCTAAATGACATATTGTATAAATATGGAAATAAATCCGGTAGGGAGGATTGCCTGCAAATCTCCTAGTCTAATTGTGTTTGGTTCAGTAATTCAAATAAGTCGAGCTTGATTTGAAGCCAGAACACACATATGATGAAGACCATGTTCAACACACACGCTGATGTTTTGACCACAGTTGTTGCTATTGTAACTGTCAGGGGACAAGAGATCCATTATGCATTCTTCCAGAGCTTATACTGAAGTACACTTACACACACATGTGAATAAGCAAACACACACATACACAGAGACACATGATCAGGCCTTCTCAGTTCAAGCAGGCATGGAGATAGTCAGACAGGTTTAACAGACTAATGAAATAAGCCCTGCACCTGTTCAAATATACTATTTCTGTGTGTGTCTGTGTCAAAGAGGCTTGATAATTGTCGTAACTTCCTGTTGAAACTTTAGGCCAAAAATATACAGTGAATGAACTGCAGCAGTTCCTTTACCTTTATAATAAACTGAATAAAAGAAAAAGTCACATGATGAATCAAAGTTCATCACAAGTAGCTTTTCCACAAGTTGAGATAAATACAAATGTATATATATATATATATATATATATATATATACTGTCAAAGACACAACATGCACACACACACACACACACACACACATACAAGTTCTAACATTGTTTAAATGGCACTTATTTATTTTTACCATAATATCATCATCTTTTGTGTTTTGCTGGTTTACTCTCATGCATGATGTTTTCCAGCAGTCTTGTTTCTGCATGTATTCATGCAGCAGGAAATGAAGAGCTTTGGTATATATATATATATATATATATATATATATACTGTATATATATATAGTGTAAAATTGAATTCACACAAATACAAAACGGCATCATGGGAACACAAATGACACTAAGATAATACAATAAACATTAACTTAGCAATATTAGATATAACGTACACTCTTAAAAATAAAGGTGCTTCACGATGCCATAGAAGAACCTTTTTGTCTAAATGGTTCCATAAAGAACCTTTAACATCTGAAGAACCTTTCTGTTTCGCAAAAGCTTCTTTGTGGCGAAAGAAGGTTCTTCAGATTATAAAAAGGTAAGAAAGAGATGGTTCTTAAAGCCTTTTAAGCACCTTTAAGAGTGTAAAACCCTAATGTACATAAGTGGTCATCAAATGTGAAGTGTTACACAGAGAATTCTGGGTCAAAATTTGTCAGTTTATGGTTTTCCACTGTTAATTATAAGATGCCATGGTAAATTTAACAGTATTTTACTGTAGAACTACATGAAATGTCACATTAGATATATTATAGCTTTTCACCATATAGTAAGGAAACTTACCATTAACCAAGTTCTTACCGCAACAGTTTTATAGTCTTCTACCATTAAAATTCAAAGATCATTTGAATGTGTATTTTTATGTAACACAAGTGTCTGTGTGTTGAAAATCCAGCCGTTAATTTAATTAAAGTGATTTAATGAGATTGTTTTAACAGTAGTGCACATATCCAGATCTGAATCTCTGTATCCGTACCTACACACACACACACACACGCGCGCGTCTAAGCTCATACGCATGCAGCTGTGTGTGTCTCAGTGCCAGTCTGTTAAAACAGCAAGCGGATTATTGTGCAACGTGACTGACCACAGTTTACGGACGACAGTTAATTTGAAACAGACCCATAAAAACCAATGCAGTCTGCTAAATTCTGCATGAACGTATGGTCAGACTAGTCTCTTTTGACCGTCTGCATGAAGTTTGGTCCAATTTGCAGAACATTCTGGCCAAAAACTGCCTAAAGTTTTGTATTTCGGCATCCAAGATGTTTTTTTGGGCAATCTAAAACCGATCATCTCACAGGTCTGTGTCAAGAATAATGGTATCTTTTTCCTACACTTAAACTTTCTGGTTGTAGGTTTTAATAAGGCCTTGTGGCCATTTATCTAAGAAAGAGAAAGCAAGAGGAGCAGAAAATGAGGGGAAAAGGGGGCATAAGAATTTGTCTTTAATCCCTCTTGGGCCAAATTCAAACCAAATGTTCTCATTCCGTCATCTTTTGATTTCTTTTATTTATCACAGGTTTAATGTTTCATGTCAGCCTTCCTCCAGCAAATTCTCTACCTTTTAAGGTAATGCACAGAGAAAACGAAGAGATGAGAACCTGGAGAGGTTGAGACAGGCAAGAACTTTCATGTTATTCAGACAATGTTGCTCAGGTAACATCTGGAGGTGATTTTTATGCCTTCCACTGTATCAAACTCCCAACAAATCTGCATTCTGCTCTCTATACATATTATATTGTGCACGTTAATTGTAATAAGCCAGTGCTCCACTAGTGCTAAAACTTTTCACAGTACTGTAGATTTGCAGGTAGGTCTCTTGAAGCATTTTGGAGATGTTGCCACAGTTCCTCTGGATTTAGTCTGTCTCAAGTTTCTTCATGTCATCGCAAGCAGACTGGATGATGATGAGATCAGATCTCTGTGTGGAGCACTGACTGTTGTCGGATTTGTGCATACAAAAATCTCACTGGGTTATTACAATTAATGGTAAAAGGAATGTTCGGAAATGTAAATTGATATTTCCTACTGACACACTACAGCAAAAGATAGAAATAATTAGTTTAAAAACCTTTTTTCGAAAATGCTAATTGCCTAAGACTTTTGCACAGTACTCTGCATATATATAGTTATTACAAAAATATTAAGCTGCAGAACTGTTTTCAACATTGACCACCAAAATCAGCATATTGGAATGGTTTCTGAAGGATCCACATGACACTGGAGAGACATATAGCTGCAGAGAAAATTACATTTAATACATGACTTTTTAAAATATGTTGGTTATTTGAAATTATTGTATTTCATAATATTAATGTTTATAATGTATTTTTGCTCAGATAAAGGCAGTCTTGGTGGACATAATACTAGAGAGGTGGCAGGAAATGCAGAAAATGAGATTTAATATTTTGGTAAAGTGGTAAGTGAATTGCATATTTACTCATAGGATTCACCACCATGGTGATATGATGTTGCAAAATATCACGCTGGTGTCCTGAGGCACATAAAGACTTGGAAGTCTCACCTGTGCTGGGTGTAGCCTGAACGCTGACTCACCCCCAGCACAATGCTCTCATTGTTTGAGATTCAGAGAAGCAGGGCAATGCTTCGAACCAAGGAACATCATTCTGTCGTCTTTCTATTATTTTACAAAGCTCTTTGGCTTAAAGGCGCGTTCTTGTCTGTTTCTTCTCTGTGTCTCTGCTTTGTTTGTTTTCTATTTTTGGATGATGCAGACATATTCAGAAGAGAAATGCTTTGCTTTCTACTGCCTCCATAGGCAGCTGCCTTCTAAGGTGTATTCTAATTAAAACGGAACCTGATTTGATTTGGTTCTATTGCTTTAAATGAGTTACTGGTTTAAAAAAAGGCTTTGTGCTAAATGAAATTGGGCCCGAGGTGATGGAAAAGTCTCAATGACTGATTTGTTTCTCTGTCATTTTTAGGTACTGAAAAAAGAACACATTTAGTTTCACTCTAAACCAGTTTTTCTTTGAATTCTGTTCATCTGTCAAGTCATATGGTTTTTCCTGTTGCTCCTCATTGCTGAGTTTGGAGCCGGATACATCTGAGTTTGTCTGTCTAGTATCCTCAGGCGTGAAGTTCTGCATTCTGAAGTGCACTGATCGGAAATCTTTCATCCACTCAGGTCATATCTGAAATCTCAGAGGCTTATTCTTTTATTTTTTGTTGCATGCAGTTATCAGATGCAGATACAACTTTTTAAGTGGTCTTAATGGTTGTATGTTGTTTTGTTTTTTTCCTGTCTCCATCTGTTATGTTTACTGCTTGTTATTTCTGAATGACATGGCAGTTTATCTGCAGCTTATCATTTGTTTTTAGTAGATTGTGGTTATCCAGGAGCATCGCTTTATGGATGCAGACTCTGTTTAAAGCAATACTATATCCACTTGTGCATTTTAATTACATTGTGGGATGTATATGAACCATGACCACCTATGTCTCAGTGCACACACGCACATACTTGCACAGTTTTTCCAAAATATGAGCTTCCATCTGAAGTGTATTAGTGTGATTAGTCTACTCTGGGGGACCTTCTTGGGTGGTCAAGTCAGATCAGGCTGCCCATGTGTGCTGCCTGTTTAAAAACCAGAATAGATTACAGGTGCTCTGAATTTAGATGGAACACAATGACATATTATTTGATCCAAGCAGAAGGGTTTTTTTTTAACCATGAATACCATGATCAGTCAGTGTTTCTTTCTTTGACTTCTTTCAGCCCTTTCATTTCACATGTGAGATGGAAATGTAACACTTCTTTCTCACTGTGATGAATGAACAGAAAAGCCTTTAGACTAAACTAGAGCACTGAAGATCACATGGACCTCATTTTTGTGTGTATTCGTCAGTGTTGTTATTGTTAATTGAAAAACTAAAACTGTTAGAAAATAATTTGTGCTTATTGAAATAAAGCTGAAATTAAATCTAAATATTAGATGAAAAACAGAAAAACTTAAATGAAAATGAGAAATGTTGCCCTGTAAACTTTCCGAAATTAGAAAAGTTTAGAGAAGTACTGAAATTACCAAAACTGAAATAAAAACAAATTTAAGCTAAATAGAAATATTAAAAAACAAAAGCTAAAAAAGTCAAAAGCACATAACAAAATTGCTCAAATGAAAATGAAAATGAAAACTGAACTTTTTAAAATAAAATAACTCAAAATATTAATAAATACTATAATAGCATATAAATAATACTAAAATAACAATGGTATTACTATTTATGTTTAACATGCAAAGTGTAATTTTGGAGTATTTAAGTATTTTTAGTGAGTTTTATTCTCTATTTTTAGAGATAACATTATGGTTCTAAATGTAGAAATATATATAAAAAATATTGTTTTAATGTGATATCAGCAAGTATTTTTTGAGATTTCAATGGATCATTTTATTTTATTTTATTTTATTTTTGCTGCATAAGCCACTTACCAAATACAGGCCATTTTACCAAATACAATGAACTTTTTCTGTTCACATCACATATTTGAATATGTTATGTGTAATTCAAAAATATATATTTTTTATTTCCTAAACCAGGCTTAAGCTGGCTAAAAGACCAACTATGACCAGCAAACCAGTTTAGGCTGGTTTATAAGCTGTTTTAATTCAGCTGGATTTCTTATGTTTTAAATATTTTCTCTCTTTTCATGTGAAACCTTATGTCCTTTTCTCTCTCATTCAGGTTCACAGGGAGATGATGTATGCTGGACCGAGTGGTCATCCTCTCCGGCAGCCCCCGATGGGTCCTCCTCCACCCCATATGCAGGGCTCCATGTCCCCTACCACACCTCATGCGATGATGCTAGGCTCCAAAACCCAGCCCCCTTCCCCACACCGGATGGGCGAGATGCGAGTGATGGACATTCACACAGTCCAACCGCAGAGTTCCATGACTCTCGAAAGGGCATCACCTATCAGACAATCATTTAGGAAGGAGGCTCCTCTTGCTATGGATACCATGGTAAAGGCAAGGGGTGGTATGGGGTCCCCGGCCACCCCTGATCTTCAGGTTCACAATCCTCTTGCCCCCTCAACAGACCCTCAGACACGGTAAGTCATCATTAAGTGTAAACGAGAATATTGAAGCATGAAAATAACTAACTTTCCGTCTACAACATCCCAGTATACATCAGCATCCGTGATATGTTCATATTCTAACTCTGCACCAGTTTATTGTCTTCCACTGCATCATGGCATTCCTTAACTGCATCCAAAACACATCAACAATGTCTTGTCTAAGTACTAGCAGCTATTATTGGATGTGCGTGTTAACATTTAAATGGAAATTTGTAACCAACTTGTCGATTACGCTAACAAACATCCAAAAGAGAGTCAAAAAACAGTTTGTACATAGTAAATGACCATTGTAGTAAATTATGATCATTGTAAATAAACGTAAGTGTTCACTTAATCAACATTAGCAAATATAGACATATACTGTATATTAAAAGTAACTGAATCAATAGGCAGTGCAGTACCAACAAGTAGAAGCTCAATAGCCTATTATAAGCAAGTATGTTTCATTTATAATATTTACCCTTTAAACTGGTATCAAAGTTTGTACTGGTATTGTCCCTCATAAGTGGTGGTATAAAAATATCCCTTTATCCCTAGTTATGTTCACGTAAATTTTTTAGGGTTGATAATCTTTTTAGCTCGGTTTGCTTTCAAGAATAAAGCTTTACGTAACTCAGGAAAAGACTTTGAACTGTAATTCAGTCAGCTTTGTTTTGCTATGCTGGTTAAGTGGACTTAATCGTACCCTTTATGTTTGTCTGTGCCTTGTTAGTCAGATTTATTGTGCTTGGCGATGTACTCGCTGGCTGAGAACAGTCAATACAGAGAGTCAACATGCTAAACTGTTTTTAAAGGGCAGAGCACATGCAGGCCAGACGTTTCTAACATTATCTTGTAGAGAAAAGAAATAGTGGTTTGGTATGTGTGTTGGCACAGAAAGGGCAAATGGGCAGTTTAGCATTTAAAAAAAAAAGACTTTAGTTAATCATCATTTGAAAAGTTAATGTTTTTGATTTATTGTGTTTTTTTGTATATGCTAAGATCATAGGCAGGAGTCCAGATCATACTCCCTTTCGCTTAATGCTTTTTGTAGATAGGATTGACCTTAAATCAAGGAAGTGTTTTATAATTGAAATGTGGTTAATATGTTGCCAAGAGATTTTTCTTCTTTTTACTTCAAGTTGTTTTTTTCTGTGCAGTTTCACATAAAATTCCCACTTTATGAATGGCAGCATACGTTTAAAAATTTGGGGTTGGTAAGATTTTTTAAATGTTTTTGAAAAGTCTTATGCTCAACAAATGTTCAGTAAAAACAGTAATATTTTAAAATATTATTACAATTTAAAAATACTGCTTTCTCTTTGTATATATATATTTAAAATGTAATTTATTTCTTTGATGATGAAGCTGAATTTTCAGCAGTCATTACTCCAGTCTTCAGTGTCACATGATCTCTCAGAAATCATTCTAATTTGCTGATTTGTTGCTCAAGAAACATTTCTTAATATTATCAATTCTGAAAACCATTGTGCTGCTGAAT